CCGCCGTGGGATCCTCCACCTCGGCTGCTGTTGGCAGCATCCTCAGCTCTCAGGGAGTGCCCATCAACTCTGGGGGCTTTGGCCTCTCTGGCCTGGGCAGTGGCCTCTGTGGCAYSAGGTYCYTCCCCTGCTAAWGTTRCTCCSTGCACTGSAMTCTCCACGTGGATCCYCATYWTTTYCCTCTTTTGATTCAATAAATTCTGCTGCATCCCAGCTCTTGCCTTTGTGTCATCCTTTGCCCYGCAGATGCTCTCCCAAGGCAGAGRTGTTGGCCAGGGGTGYTTTTGGGWRGWGGTTGTTKGGGCTGGATTTGCACTGGTTGTCAGCCCAGGCTGGCACTGGGTRTGCTYRKTGTGCACTGAGTGACRATCCAGTTCTGAATTTTTCTGCCTCTTTGGGTCAYGATAGATTTCCCTACTTYGTCCACAAACATCCACTYTRTTTGCACTTCTTTTCCTTTTCCTTGCTCWGCTCAACACTGTKACACAAGCACTCAGTGACCRTGTTACTGACCAGACAGAGGTACTGGATTYCCATCAGACTCCAGCAGATCCCATGGATCTAACACATTTCTGAAAGGGACACCGTGCATTGGGCTGCCTTTTACAGATTCAGGGTATCAAGGAATCATAGAATGAGTTTAGTTGGAAGKAATTGTTAAATGTCTTCTAGTCCAMCTCTCCTGCCATGGACACAGATACCTGTCACAGCATCACATGGCTCAAAGCTCAAGCMAACCTGACYTTGARCCCTTCCCAAGGTGGGACATCCCARCATTGTCTAGGCWRSRTTTTCCAGTACCTCACCACACTCGAAATCATTAATTCTTCCCTCATGTCCCATCTGCATTGTCCCAATTTCAGTTTAAACTGTTGTTCCTTCTCCAGCCACTGCAGGCCTTGATATGATGTCTCTCTCCAACCTCCTTATTCACCCCGTTTACATACTAAAAGGCTGCAATAAGGTGTCCCAGAGCCTGCTCTTCTCCTGCYCCAAAACCTCGAATCCCTCCAGCCTTTCTCCATAGTAAGGGCAATGCATCCATGTGTTCCTTTCTGCAGTCCTTGTCTGCAGCTGCTCTMACAGGTCCATGTCTGTTTTGAACTGAGGTCTCCAGACTGGATTCAGGGCTCCTGGCAAGGTGTAACAAGAGCAGATAAGAAGTGGACAGTCCCAACCCTTGACCAGCTGGCCATGTTTCTGTTTGTGCAGCCCTGGACCTGAAGGAATTGCTGAGCTGCAAACGCACATGGCTGGCTCGTGTCCAGTTTTCGATCTCCAGTGTTTCAATATCTTCCTTAAAGGTTGTGCTCCCTGTCATTTCTTCTCCAAGGCTGTTCAGATATTGTGGACTTCATCAGTGCAACTTCCTGGGAAAGTTTCTAGAGAAAGGRAGGCAGGGAGAGGCAGGCAGAGCACGCTCAGGGTGTGGGCTGAGCATGTCAAAGGGCTGTCCAGGAGCAGTTGAGGGAGGGGAGCAGCTGAACTGTTGCAGGACACAGCGGGACACAGCGACAAATGTGCCCCCCAGAATCCAGATGTGAAGTTGGCTTTGTAGCAGCCAACCCTGCCACATCCTTCAGTCTCTGAAAAGCAGGGCCCAGATGAGGTGATTTTGGTAACACCACCAAAACAGAAGAAATTGCCACGACTGTTCCTGGCAATTCGAGGATTGTCATCAACATCCTGGGCTATCAGAGCAAAGCAGCCAACAGGATATCGATGGGAGCAAAGATCCCACCCTGCTCAGCCCACCCCAGGTGGCATCAAGCATCTGGGTGCTGCCTACTGGACAGTAACACTAAAAAATCTCAACCATGAGAAATGAAATACATGAAGATTGGCCAGGATGGTGAGTGGGGCTGGAACTTGTGGATGAGAGGCTGAGGACACAGGCTTTGCTGGCAACAGAGAAGAGAAGGCTATGTTGGAAGAAATAAAAGTGTTYTTGGAGTATTCTGTGGTCATTGAGCAGTGTCAGGTAATCCTTTCAACAGAGAGGRAGAGTAATTCAGAAAGGTCACACTAAAAAATGACCAATCAATGCTGTGTTAATGTAACGAATGCTCTGCTGACAACCATGGCAATGCATCCTCCAACAACACCCTCCTGGAGCCACACAGCAAAACTCTGCCACTGGATATGTTGAGTGAGCACGTGTAGGGCACAGGATGACACAGAGGCAAGGGTTCGAATGCAACAGAACTTTAATGAGTCAAAAGATGCAAACCAGGTAAATCCGAGTGAAAGGAGCACCACAGGCAGATAGAAGTCTGCACTAAATAACTGCTGTGGAGATCTCAGGAGATGTCCATCTGCCGGATCCAGAGAGGGAGCAGGACCAGCAGTTCCTCCACAGGCTGGCTGAGTGGGGATCACAGCCCAGGGGAGCAAAAGGGAACAGGGACACAGGACAGAAAGCAGAGAGGGGAAGAGGGCAGAGGCAGGGATGGGCCGTGCTTCCCGAGAGCTCAGGCTGGCCCCGTATTTCTGCCAGGGCTGCTGGGGGTGCTCAGCCCCTCGGGAAGAAACAAGCCAATGCTCCATCACCAGTCCCTGGGTTTGTTTTCTGGACCTGTCGCCAGCAGCTTTAGCAGGGGAAACATCTCCTGCCACAGAGGCCACTGCCCAGGCCAGAGAGGCCAAAGCCCCCAGAGTTGATGGGCACTCCCTGAGAGCTGAGGATGCTGCCAACAGCAGCCGAGGTGGAGGATCCCACGGCGGTGTTCTGAGGGAAGGAGCTGAGGATGGGGCCAGGCAGGGTCACCACCACGGGTGAGGGCTGGATGGCCACGGTGGAGTCYTGGCACTGYMGGACACAGGGCTCATTGCAGCTGTTGGCCAGCGGGGTGGGGCCRCAGGGCTGGCAGGGCCGGCACGGGGTGTAGCAGGACATGTCTTGGGGCTGCAGGTGCACCTGGCACAGAGGGAAGGGAGAAGCTGAGCAGAAACTGTGGATGAAGAGCAGTCTTTCACCCTATTAAGAGTGAGGTAAGTGAGAAGTTGGAGAAAAGAGCTGGGGATTGCGTGGGGACATCCACAGGTGTCACCTTCCTTTCTGCCCAAAAGARCCCTGTGGACAGCAACCAAGCCCAAAGAGGTTCCTTCCTCATCCATAGCTCAGGAGACACTTAACTAAGTTTCAGCCTCTGGTTATGACAGAAGTTATTTCCTCCCCTTCCCTCTCCCATGACAGCAGTTCCAAGACCCCACAGAGGMCTGGGGCAGGGATGAGCTGAGGTGCATTGGAGGAGTATGAGGAGAAGGAGGAGAAAGAGCTTCACACTCACCTGGTACCGAAGGAGATGAAGGCGAGAGGAGTGGATGAGACAGTGAGGAGAAGGACCTCCCTTTATACTGCTCTTGCACTGCCCCAGGCCCACAGACATGGCGTGACAGCAGTAATTTTGCAGCAGACTCATGTCAAAAACAAAATGTTTCTGCCTAGTGGCACAAGTTGTGTTTTGCTTTCTGTCAACCTGTGCCCTGCCTTTCATTTCCTTGTTTTTGACATTCCTGCTCTGCTTTCATGYGCTGAGATGATGCACCCAAGGATATCCTGGGTGATGTTGTGTCAGTGAAGGCAGAAGATGTGCTGGAAGTGGTGATGGGGTCCCATGAACACAGGGAATGCTGGCTTGGAGCAGCGAATTGGAATTTTTTATAACTTTAGCAAGGAGTTTCAGCTCTCTTCCTCTTGCTGAGCTTTTTTTCTGGGGAGACTGTTTTGCCACTTTTTCTGARTGGGCAGGACTGGGGACAGCCAAAGCCTGCCTGGCTTTGAACCAGGCAAAACATGTGGAAGGCACCAGAAATTCTTCCAGGTTGGCGAGCGGTCCAAAAGCTGACTAGAGCAGGGGTTACGGGAAAGGTGGAGGTATTCAAAGGATTACTGGCCTTGGTTTTTAATAGCAGGAATTGCTGTCAAGAGATTGGGAATTCGTCAGCACCAGGGCAGGATTAGGTGTGGAAATGTTTAAACAGATTGGCTATGCTACAGAGCCCTCAGCCCTCTTCTCTCGTGAGAGATGTGCCTTGGGGACAGACTTGGAAGGTGRAATGGATTTGGGGACAGACTTGGAAGGTGGAATGGATGCACAAACCCCATCCTCTTGGCCAATGAGACCATGCTGTGGTGAGGAGCTTTCCTGAATTCTCTGTGGAGGGATAGAAAGTGTTGCAGAAAACATCTGCCCCCTGTCTGGAACTMATCCCTGGATCCATGCACTGAGTATTCTCCTGGCATTTGTGCTCCAGCATACCTTGTTTCCCATGCCCAAAAGGTCTTGTTGGACAGCAGCCCAGAACCTTCRGGAAAATGGGAATTTGCCCATTTCCCCAGTAAATGAGGGCTGCCAGTGACMTGCAGTGCCACTTACCTGAGAACACAGAGGGAGGGGATGCACTCAGAAGGGTCCTGGGTACAAAACCAACTCTCAAATGACACCAAGGACTGATGCACTTCCCAGCCCTGTAGACATGGAGGCAGCTRGGACGCATCCCAGGAGGGCAAAGGAATGCCTTCAGTAGGCAAATTTCCAGGGAGAGACTCTCTCTACCCATGGTGAGTCATGCCCTAATTTTGGGTTGGCTGTGTGTCAGCATTTTGGTGTGAGGTGAAGCCAGGAGGTGTGCTGCCTGCAGACCCATRTCCCTCTTGGGGACACCATTCCCCTCCAGCAAGGGCAGATCCATCCAAAATCCAGAAAAGCTGGTGCAAACAGTGGGCTGTGCCTGAGTAAACAGCTCCAGGCAGCCACAACAGCTATTGCTGTCCGCAGGACCTTCTTGCCAACACTCTCACAGCTCCAGGGGCTCACAGGACTGTCAACATGTTTGGGAAAAGTGTCTCCTGCTGGTGAGAGTTTGAAGCATGCAGCCAAAGTTCATGGCACTATGAGGAGAATGGGACAAACAAGGTGCTGTGCCCAGCCCCAACACATCCCTGATGAGAGGAGACAGTTCTGACTGCACAAGAACTGTAGAACAACCATGGGGTTTAGGAAGGATGACATTTTCTTTCTTCACAGTGACTGAAGGCAGTGATGTGAGACCCCCAGAGAGAGCCATGAGAGGGGATGAGTCTTCCAAATAAATCCGTGAAGGACTGACGGAGAAGGATAAGTCACATCATCAGGCACAGGAGTCTTTGTGTAGTGAAATAAGACTCCTGCATCGCAGGGGGAGATTCAAACTTTTCTGCAATGGGGGTTGAAAGAAACCTCTCCAGATTTCCTGGTTCCATGTCCTACATCTGCACAGGCCCCTCCTGCGCTTGAGGGTGCATCTTCTGATGGCAGTGACGTGATCCCTCTTGGGAAACCCATGGRCCTGTCATCCTGGGACTTGAAAGGAGCCTACAAAGCCTAATGGGCACGTCAGAAATGAGGAAATGCACTGGAGATGCTGATGGAAAACAAAATACAACCTGGGGCATTAGGTGGGACATTTTGCTTTGGAGGTGACTCTGTTGGAAAATTACTGTCCTCACGCAGTGCCTGTGGGCCTGGGGCAGTGCAGGAGCTGTATAAAAGCTGCTCCTTCTCCTCACACTCTCATACTCTCCTCTCCTTCACACGATCTCCTTGGGAACAAGGTAAGTCTGAACCTCTTTATTCATCTTTTATTCATTCTCATCATTATCCTTCCATGGGATTTTTCAGCAGAAAGCTACTCATTTGTTCTACACCTGCTTTTGGGGTTGCTTTCCATGGGAGAGGGAAGGGTGCAAAAGGGAGAGAGGYTGGAGCTCAGTTAGGTGTCTCCTGCAGTATGGGCTCAGAAGGGATCTCCTGGGGCTTGGCTGTATTTTGCAGGTCTCTTTAGGGATTTGGAGAAGGAGAAGCCTGTGGGCCTCCCTATGATATTTCCAGCTCTTTGTGCCAGATTGTGTCTTCTCTCGCTGCTGCTACAGAATTCCA